TCTGTGTGGAGTAAGGAAACTTGCCCAAGGTTTCGCCCTCTGCCTGGAATTGAACTCAGGTCTCTCACTTGCAAAGCGAGTGCTCTAACCACTGAGCTACAGGACTCCACACATGAGATGGTTCTATCACCCTTATATGTGCATCCACAATATGGTCCACTCTCCCTCGCAGGGTACTGGGTGGCCTCTGCGTTCAATCCTCACCAATGATAAACACAATTCCAACTGTTTAGAGGTTCAAATGTGGAATAAAATCAGATTTGATACCCATCTCATGCAACCCATCTCAATGGGCAGGAAAGAAGCCAGAGTCGCTAGGGTCCAGGTGGCCAGGATCAGGAACACAGACAGCCCTGGAGGAAGTCACCTTGAGTTTATGCTGGAGACGAGATGTGATCAGCAGGTACCTGTCCAGGCTGATCAGCACAGGTCGAGGATGGAGGAGCTGCGACACATCACATCGCATGTGGACCAGACGGTGCAGAAATTAGCCACCAAACAGCCAGCTGCCCTACAGGTGGTTGAGCATGGCTGGCGGCATGACTACCAGCTCACCAGCAGGTCCGACACCAAGAGCGACACCAAGAAGTAGTTGGAGGTGGTGGACAGGAAACGTCGTGTCAAGATCAACAGGATGAGCAGCGAATTGCCCAACGTGGTGAGGACGATGATGACACTGAGAAACTCCGCAACCTATGTGTTGGCCATCAAAGAGCAAAGAGTCTCAAAGAGCCTCACACAATAATAACAATAGTAATCCTTGCATTTGATATTGCGCTTTATCACGTCTTTGAGATGTCTCAAAGCGCTTCACAGAATCTACTATAAAGTGAATTTTCTGTATATTTTGTGAGCGAAACGCGGCAGCCAATTGCACACAGCAGCGTCCCACAAACAGTCGTGGATTGAGTGACCAGTTTTTTTAAGGGATTATTACCCCTGGAAAGCTATCCATCGACAATCAACCGGGTTCCTACCTACTGCTGGGTAAACAGAGCCATGTGGAGGAAGGAAAAAGTTTCGCCGCCTGGGAATTGAACCCAGGGGCTCTCGCTTACAAGGCGAGTGCTCTAACTATTACGTTACAGGATTGCACAATGATAATTTAGATCTATCTGTTTTGGGGGACCTTAAGGGACTCCACCATTATTCAAAGAAACCTGGAGTCTTTCTCGCAGTTCTCCTGGTTTATAATCCCTCAGCATCCAAATTCTGTGCATTGTTTGGGGTAACTGGGAAACTTCTGACCACTGGCCAGTCGGTCACCTTCCATGTCAAGATGGTCTCAGGCAAGATACTGATGGTCAGATCAGAGTTGTCAGTGTGACACTGGGTGATTGTTAGGTTGGAGCCGTCAGTGTTGCCTTCTGCTACGAGTGATCGTGCCAAGGTCTTCTGCCACAAAAGGGCTGCTCCTGACCATGAAGCGAGGACCATGTGAGGTCTGACAGCCCAGACCCAGTGACTGACAATATAGCCAAGAACTTGCTTCTGCAGCTGAGGTTGCAATAATAATAAATAATCCTTGCATTTGATATAGCTCTCTGTACAACTCTCTACCCCTTCCTCGCTCCCTCCCTTCCCTCCCCTCCCCTCACCCTTACCATTTCCCCCCTGCCCGGGTCCTGACCCACCTGTCCAGTGCCTTGGGACGTCCTCCCGATGTGAAAGGCGCTCTATAAATGGAACCTTGTTGTTGTTGTTATCTTCATCTTGCAGACGTCTCAAAGCGCTCCACGGAATATACTGTGTAAAGTGAATTGACTGTATATTTTGCGGGCGAAACACGGCGGTCAATTGCGCACAGCAGCGTCACCCAAACAGTGGTGAATTGAGTGACCAATTCTTTTGTAGCGAAACAGAAGCTACAGCTGGAGGCCCTCATCCCTGAAGTGTAAAAGTGGAAACAGTACTGGAAGTAGAAGCTTTCTAGGAGCAAACTGGAACTACTGCACATGCAACTTACAGCCAAGGTGGGAGGGGGGGGGGGTGCAGGAGGCTCAGGAATGCTAACATCACCAGAAGGAAGTGCATCCATTCAAAAGCAATCCCAAATCTTTCCTCTGCTGACTGTCGTCGAACATCAGTCATGGGCCGGGAAGGCAGTCTCTGGACTAGTGTCGGACAGTATTATTAGAAATGAAAACAAATCATAAATCAGATGGAGCAGATCTGATTTAGGAAACAGAGTCACCACACACACACACACACACACACTCAAAGGTAGTTAGTTGTTCGTTGTTCCTCTTTATAAACAAGATACACAGCATTTTACAAGAATACAGATGCTGGGCGAGCAAGAAAACAACTTCTAGCAGATCAGGATCAAATCTAGAAACAGTTTATATAAAAGCCAAACTACAGACATTGAGCAGATGCACATTCATTCAGAAGCAGGTAACACATTCTCATCTTTTACCCCTCGGTTTCTCCTCTCCTAAAGACAGCGACTCTGATTGTCTGTCTCCCTGGCACCAACCGTGGCAATGCCTACTTCAGCAGGTGGCAGTCTGGTTGGCAGTGGGTGCTCCCTCCCACACACATACACATACACTCTCACTCATACACATCCTCACACACTCTCTCACACACACATCCTCACACAAAAACTTTCACACACACATACGCACACTCTCACATATATCCTCACACACACACACACACTCTCACATATATCCTCACTCACATCCACACACGCTCACACACGCACATAGCCCCACTCACATAACACACACACACTCACTCACTCACACACACTTACCCTCACTCACACTCACAAACAGTTATCCTCACTCACACACTCACAAATACATTTATCCTCACTCACAAACACACTTACCCTCACTCACACACTCACACACACACTTTCCAGCAGAGTATTTGGATGGTGATCACCCATAGGAATGCTTAATAATGTTTTTCTCCTCCCCCGTCCCTCCAGCTCAAAGAGATTGAGTGTTGCACATTAGCTCCAGCTAAGATTTCTAAGTCAATGTAGACAAAAGACCGGACAAAACACAAAATACTGCAGATGCTGGAAATCTGAAACAAAACCAGAGAGAGCTGGGAAAGCTCGGCAGGTTAGGCAGCATCGACGGAGAAAGGAAAGTGAGTCAACATTTCGGGTCCACGACCCTTCGTCAGAACAGACCCGAAACGTTGACTCACTTTCCTTTCTCCGAAGATGCTGCCTGACCTGCCGAGCTTTCCCAGCTCGGTCTAGACAAAGGACTGAACCTGGGACCTCCTTGGTCCATCTGGCTTGGTACCACACTTCATCCTGTATTTACACTCAGACACATTAAATCACTTTCCAAGACCCTCTTCATATTTTGTTAGTATTTTGAAATGTGAAACTCAACAGTCATTAGATATTTCTCACAATAGTACATAGTTCTCATCCTCTGGTGTATGACGAGGTTTAAGTGCTATGGTTTCAGATGTAGGTTTACATTTACAAATAAAAACAAGATTTTTTTTAAAGTTTCACAACATAAAACATTTGGAATGATTATATACAGACATGGATAAGTTTGAACTGGGTGATGCTCTGGATTTTTCACCAGATTTGTTACTTACCATGCAAGCCTGATTATAATGGGGACATCGTTTGGAATTAATGCTGTATATACCAATGCCTTGGACACCAACTTCAGCCTGGACACTGGCCTGAAGGACCAGATGAGAAGGGGCAAAGGGCACTCTGGACACGCTCATCCCTCTCAAGGATAGCAAGGTCCCGATACAAGTCAAGCGTGTGGCTTACAAAACCTAAGTGCAAACAGTCCTCCTTTATGGAACCGAGCTTCAGGGGATGCAGGGTTGAGGCTTCCTCCGACCCATTTGAGATGGATTTGTGGCAAACATGGGAAGTGGCTACAAGGAGGGAGGGGTCGGTCGACACTGACCTGTCGCTGAGCACCCTGGAGGTGGAGGCGGCTTCACAACAGGCACGTCTACTTGCCAAGGGCCCTCCCTCACATGAGGACCTGGATTGAGCAGCTGATGTTAAGGAAGCCTCAAAAGCTCTGAGACGCTGCCCTGGGTGAGGGGCGCTATATAAATGTGAGTTGTTGTTGCAATATGCGACATTGGACTTGGACCTCGAGAACATCAAGATGGCTGGCAGGTCACAAGCTGTCCTGTGTGGGTCCTCCCACCACACTGAAGGCAGATGTTCGTCAGATAGCTCGTGAGGAAACTCTGAGGCTTGGGGGTGGCAGCTGCTGGGAGACATTACCTGGACATTAGTCTGAGTTCATGAACACATATTCGGGCATTCAGCGCCTGGAATCCACCTTGATTGGTTTGCAGAGAGACAAACAGCTTCTGCTTAAACTCCGCACCTCAATTGATAGAACTATCGCTCAATGGGAAGGGACCTGGCTCCGAGCTGCAGACAGGAAGATTGTGGCAATGCTCTCAAGCATTTCATACTGAGATTCATTGCCCACTGGGAAGCTCCTGGTACCTGCCATCCACCTAGTGAGGCCTCAAACCCAGGCTTGTTGAATTTCAAATGATCAACTAGTGGCAATGCTCCTTGGGGCGAGGAAAACGGGGTCTTATTGGAGCTGAACTGGCTCTAAGTAGTCTGGCTCCTGAGACAGGCAGGTCCACAGCACTACTGTGCTGATGACGCCACAGCCAGCCTGGCTCATCGGCAGGACCTGGAAAAGGGCAGACCAGTCACTAGGGGCAGGGAGTCATTCCACTCAGCTCCTGTTAACCCTCCAAGCCAAAGCCCTAACTGATAGGGTGTTCCTAGCTGGAAAAAAAACAGCGGGAAAGTTTGCCAGACAGCGATATCAATGTTACGATTCCAGCAGCACACCAACACACACTCTGGGTTCCCAAGTCCTGGCTCTTGCCTAATACTTTCCGGAATTGGTTAAGCAGGCTGCAACCCGCCAGGGAGAGAGAGCGCATTCGATTCCAACAATCTACCTCTGGAATTTCCACATGTGGTGGAGATGGATGGAATTCTCAGTTTGGTTTGGACGCTCTTAAGCATGGTAATGTGTCAGACACCCGGCTGACCAAAAAAATGTATCAGTGGCTGGGCTGGCTTATTTCCTACAACAAAAGCCAGAATGCCATTATTTTTTTAAAGTTTTTTTTTCTTAAATAGGTCTGCATTATCCTTTTTATACTTTGAATCTATCTGAATTTCAACAATTTATCCTTAATCCAAAAAATGAAATTCACTTTTCTGGTCCAAATTCTCAATTTCAGTCATCTCCACCCTCTCGGATGGGTTGGGAAACAATTCCCTCTTTGTGGTGGACATCCTGGGGCTCAGCAGCCTGCCCCGGCCCGCTCTCCTCCTCCTTTACGTAGACATTGAGGAGGTGGGAGTCTTGGCGGGCCTCCTTTCCGCAGGCCTGACAGCTGCATTGTACAATTTTCTCCACGAGTTTGTCCACCCGAGGCATCTCCTCGTTGCCGGGACATTCTAGTTGGACCTGCATTGGAAGCAATAAGCATTTATTAAAATGTATCATTTCATTTCATACTTTATTAAAACTGACGAGACCTTGCAATCATGCAAATGAATTTTCAAATGAATTTTCAAATTCTTTCAAATGAACAAAGCAACAACATGTCCAATCACTTTGCTAAAATCACTTGACCCAAATCAGTTCAAAACGAGATGAACTGGCAATGAAGTAAATGATATAGAGAGGAATGAGGTGGATCATGTGGCCAATGACATCCTGCAAACAACAATGAGCAAATTAATTACAATTTTGGAGTGAATTTATAGGCAGAGAGATTAAGCCAGAATAACTGGGATAAACTCTCCACTTTCCTAAATATCACAACAAATGCGGCACCTAAATCATGACTCAGTCTCTATAGAGTTCAGACCAATTTGCCTCAACAGAAGCATCCTATTTCCGAGCACAAAGCAGTAATTCCTCAAATGCTTCACAGGATAAAAGTATATTTTGTGTATTTTGGTGGGTGGAAGTGGCTGCCAATTTGCACACAGCAACATCCCAATTGTATTTGGGAGATTGTTGGCTGGGACACTGGGAGAAATGATTTCAAATACTGCCATGGGATCCTTAATGTCCGCTTAGATCTCGGTTTAACGTCTCGACTGAAAAATGGACGTGTGGATGAAGTGTGCTCCAACAATAGCACACGCTCAGCATAGACCTCAGGGTTCCAGTGCCGACATGGGGATTGAACCCACAACTTTCCGACTCAGAGGTGAGAGTGCTACCAACTGTGCCAGGCTGACACCCAGTGCACATATAGCGCCTTCTCTGCTTCACGGAGCTGACCACCGACCGACTGCAAACTAACGTGTAATAATATACATTTTTAAAAGAGAGAGAATAATTTACTTACAATTTCCCACATTGACTGTAACGGCATACAGGAATCACAGTGAACAAGGGAATCTGTGGATTGTGGGAAGGTATTGGGAACACTGTAGCTGAAACACTGGCCAAGGCAAGCTCTGAGGCAGAGAGATAATGGGGCAGGTTATTATACAAGTTTACAGGGTTTTTTTTACACACTTACTAACTTTAAGTGTTCAACAAGAATATCGCTCTCCTGACTCCATAAATACCTCATGTTTAAATGGTGCATTCGATTTAGTAATGCACTCCTGTTTTTATCACTGTACTGCTATCACTAATCCAGCACGCAGCTCTTACACATTTAATCGTATATTGTTTGGCTAATGAATAAAGTGCGGGCTTATTGTCCGCGGTCATTACATTGCCTCCACGCTTCCAAAAGTCGTTAGTAGTAACGGAGTGAAAGACGCTTTCACAAACCGATGTCTTTGGGTATCAAGAGCAACGCATGGACGTGGATTCCGAAATGGCTGAAGGGAAGGAACAAAGGGATTTTAGTTAGGAGAGCGAGGTCACCGTGTGGGATGAGGGAGGGGGGGGTTGGAGCACGGTATCAAGCGGATGCCTCAGGGGAAGCAAGTGATCTGTATTCACAGACACAGCGTAGGAGAGTTACATGTGCAGATGCTGGAGGGCTGGAGGGAACTGTGGAATTGGAGGAGTCCCTGTGGTACAGTGCATTTATGGAAAGGGAAGAAGTGCAACGTATTACTGCGTTCTTTAATGCACCCACATACCTGTTCTCGATAGACTTTGACTCACAGCTGCTGTGCCCCACTATCTGGGTGATGTTCTTCGCTTCACACCAGGCACTTTTATCAGGAAACAGAGCCAGCTTATTGATAGGAGGTGGGGCTGCCACCACTAATGCTGGGAGCACGATCCACATCAGAACCCACCACATGGTTGTCAATTGCTCCACCATTCTAGAGAGGAAAGTAACACGAGACAATCGACCGGTTACTTGCATAACTCAACCAAAGCACGCAGAGGAACTTCTTACGCTACAGGTGTATCTCTGGCTACAGGTGGCAGCCAGCCAGAGATATAAATTGTTTGGTTTTCCGCGCCTAACACTCTCCGGAATTAGGAAAACAGGATGCATCCCTCCAGGGAGAGAGAGCGCATTCCATTCCAACAACCTATCTCTGGAATCTCCATGTGTAGGTGGGATGCATGGAATTCCCAGTTTGGTTTGGATACTCTTAGGCAACGGTGATGGGGTTCTGCACGTTTCAGACATCCGCGCCCCCCCCCCTCCTCACCCCACCAAAAAAGAAGTTGTTCTTTTCAAAATTAAGAGCGAGAGACACAAAAGCAAATGGCCTCATCTTCACTCTCAACCTTGAATGAAAGGAATTTAATTTCCAAAGTGGGGACCAATGTGGATTCATCAGCTGTTCTTGGGACCAATAGAAAGTGACTCTGGTGTAGATTTATGGGGGTTTCTTCACAGTTTAAATGACATTTACAGTTATAGCTGAAACACACTTATAATAATAATAATAATAATAATAATCCTTGCATTTGATATAGCGCTTTTCACGTCGGGAGGACATCCCAAAGCGCTTCACAGAACACACTGTAAAGTGAATTGACTGTATATTTGTGGGCGAACGCGGCAGCCAATTGCGCACAGCAATTTCCCACAAACAGTCGTGGATTGAAAATGACCAATTTATTATTGGTTTTGGAGGGATTATTATTAGGCTCTGTGTGGAGTAAGGAAACTTGCCCAAGGTTTGGCCCTCTGCCTGGAATTGAACTCAGGTCTCTCACTTGCAAAGCGAGTGCTCTAACCACTGAGCTAAGGACTCCATTTGTAAGCTTCCATGGAAGAAGTAAAAATAACTTAAGTTTTATAGCACTTACATATCAAAACAGCTCAAAGTGCTTGACAGTAATTCCTGGTTGGTTGGGTTCTAGGAGGTCACACAAGGTGAAAACATGGATTTTAAGCTTGATCCTCTGGGTGATGGGGAAGCCTGTGAAGCCAGGTGAGGGTCAGGTAAATGGCTCACAGAGTTTGGTGTGGGAGAGGACATGAGCTGCAGAGTTCTGCATAATCTCCATCTTGTGGAGGGAAGAGTTGGGACAGCCGACAGGCAGGGAGTTGGCATAGTCGAGCCTGGATGTTACGAATGTGTGGCAGCCTCAATGTTACGGAGCTGGGGGAAGGACGTGAAGATTTTGGGAGCGAGTGACAGAGCTCAAGAAAGGAAAGAAGCGAACAGTATGACGCCCATAAATCAAACCGTTGGCGAAATGTTTTGTGCCTTGTGCCAGTTCCTGCAGTCTACAAGACCAGGGAGGCTCAGAACTGTGCAAAATCAGCAATCCTCAGAAATCCCAAACTACTTTTACTTCACTAATAATCCTTGCATTTGATACGGCGCCTTATCACGTCTTTGAGACATCTCAAAGCGTCTCACAGAATATACTACTACACTATTTCACTGTAGGTTCACTACTAATAGTGTAGATTCACTATTATACCGGCAGCAAAACAGTATCTTATTTGAAAAAAAGATTTTAGCTCACAATTTGCAAACTTTTGAGCCACTTGCCCCATCATCCAAACAGACATGAGGTGACAGGCCGATGCAATCAAAGCCGGAGCACGCAAAGAGCTCACAAAACGGGCAAAAGGCAAAACCAAGTCATGCAAACTCGGCTTTAATTCTATCAAAATAAACATCTCAAGGCTCTGCCCATTTTAAACCTCAGCATCTGCTTATGGAGCCTCTGTCCCCATACTCTCTACAAAGGTCAGCCTGGCTCAATTGTTACCACTCTTGTCTTTGTGTTGGAAGGTGGTACTCAAATCCCACATTGCAGTGCTGCTGTTGTCTTTTGGATGAGACGTTAAAACTTTAAACCAAGATCCAGTCGACTTGTCTGACGAGGTATTGAAGATCCGGCCACACAATCAGAAAAGAGAAGAAGCGTTTTCTCCCAGTGTCCTGGCTCTCATTAATGGGTCGTTCACCTATAGAATCATAGAATCTTACAGCACAGAAGGAGGCCATTCAGTGTCTCCAAGCTCTGCTGATGAAGTCTGCCATGAGCCTTGCCTGAAGTAAAGCAGGCTCTCCTGGCTTAGGGACTGAACCCTGATCACCACAGAGGTAGACTCGATTTTGACATTTCATTGCCAAACACGTCACCTGGAGGCCAACTGGTGGGGCACAATTGAAAGGTGGATTGGCTTTCTCCTGTACCTAATGTTTAGATGAGCAGCACATTCAAGCTGTAAAGATTCATATTCTAATATCATTCTGCATCAGACCTAGTGTTTCAGTTCAGCAATTAATCTGATTATTGCCTGTTTAAGAACATACTGACGTTGATTATTGCGGCCTGGTTTACAGCGTCTTTAAAGCCATGCTCCACTTAATCACTTGGCATGATGCAGGCTGTGTGCTGTGCTGCCAAGTACAAGTTTGAGCATTCCAGGCTCCAGGCAATTTTCCTTGTAAACAGACTCCCTGATTTGGAAACTCCTCTCTTCTGTTATTTAGAAGCAAAATCTACCCCTGAAGAAATGGGACACAATTAAAGCAGTGGAGTCTTGTATCCAGTTTGGGGCACCGCAGTACAGGAAAGATGTCAATGCCATGGAGAACGTGCAGAGCAGATTCACTGGGAATGGTAACAGGGATAAAAACATTTGACTCACGAGGAAACACTGGGGCTGTTTCCCTGAGAACAGTGAGGATACCTGAGCGAAGGTTTTTAAAATTCCTGTTTGAGGGCATCTAATAAACTAAAGTGGGAGAAATAATTTTCACTGGTTGGCGAGTCATTAACTAAAGGGCACAGATTTAAGGTAAGAACAAAGGAGTTAGGAGAGGTTACAACACAATACAAAATTATAACTGTACAGCGCCTTTCACCGAGGCGTTGGATAGTCCGGGATTTGGATTCATATTCAGGTTAGGAGAATTTTGACACACAGACAGTGGTTGGGATGTGGAATTAGTTTTTTAAGATAGAATTAGATAAATACCTGAAAAAGGATATTTTTGTTCTGGTCAGCCAAGTGTCTGACACGTGCAGAACCCTAACACTGTGCTTCGTCACTCACTCCATGGCTGTTTGTGGGATTTTGCTGTGTGCAACTCGGCTGCCGCATTCGCCCACAAAATATACAGTCAGCTCACTTTACAGTAAATCCTGTGAGAAGCGCTTTGAGACGTTGCGACGACGTGACAAGGTGCTGAATAAAGTCCAGAGGGTTTTAATGGTATTGTACAGCGCCGTTCGTGTTGGGAGGATGTCTCAACTGGCTTCCGAGAATTTACTTTGTGTTCTGTAGGCGAACACGTCAGTCGACTTGTGCACAACAACTTCCCACAAAGAGGCGTGCAGTGAACGATCAATCTTTGGGGCATTGCTGGCTAGAACATCAGGACAAACTCCCTCCCTTGGTTTACTGTCTCATCCAAAGAAAAGCAACACTTCTCAAGCCCTGCCCTGGAGTGTCAGCCTAGACTGAACTCAAAAGTCCTTGGAACACTCTGTGACAATTTGACGCGATAAAGTGCTAAAATAACTCAAGTGCTTTCTCTCGACGAAGTACTTTTTCATCCAATCCCTTTCAAATCTCCTCTGATGTGGGGTCATGCCCAGAACATTAACCTGCCTATCCTTTCCTCTTGAAGACTCTGCGATCCGCTCTGCGTCCTGCAGTGCATTTCCAGCATTTTATGTTTTTATTTCAGATTTCCGGCCTCACGTTTTTTTCTTTTAACCTTGGTTCAGTTCGCATTGTTTATCCCTCAAGTATTGAAAGTGTCAAATTACAGTCAGCTGTTTGCATTGAGGGGCTGGAGAGGGAGTCGTAACAAGTACTTGGCTTCACAGCTGCTCTTAAACCATGAGTTATTTTTAATATATTCCTATTATAACATTTCCTAAATTTCTCTATCCCACATTGAAGTCATCTTAATTCCTGATTCTCTTTTATTCTGTGCCCGCGATGGAACTACCCACAAGATCAAAGGCTGAAATGTGCAGCGCTCAATAGTCTCAGACCTAAAACCATCATCTTAAAATTTAAAGTGTAGCAGAATTTTGGAAAGTTCTTAAATTCAGTCATTATTTGGAAGCTGATTGCTTTTTAAGACATGTGACAAAGCAGCTTGCAATTCTGTAGAGTCTCAAATGGTCTTGAGACTACTGGAAATATCAGGTGGAATTCCAAGTCTCTAGGTATAAAACCCTTGACCAAGAGAGGTCCTAATATTGACCATTGATATCTAGAGAGAAATGGAGAGGTCCCAATGCCGGGATTCCAGAGGCACTTCACTATTGTGTACAGTTCTTGTTACTACAACATAAGGCCCTAGAGGCAAAGACAAGCAATGAGTTATGTCTGAGGAATGATGAGACAAACTAGGGTTCTTCTCAACAATTCTAACTTGTGTAATTGTTGTCTTGAAGCATCTGGATTCACTGTTATGTTTATATTCTCAATCCCATGCAAAATGTTCAATATCTATAAGGTACAGACTGACTTATGACGGACTGAAGAGCCCTAGTTTATCTCATCATTGCTTCTAATAACTCCTTCCTCTTACACTGGGGATAATTCTCATTGAGTAGTAGCGGATTCCTGAGCCAGGCGGGTCCGTAGTATTCCAGGACATTGCTGATGACAACACAGCCCAGCCTGGCTCATTGGCAGGACTTGGAAGGGCAGATCAGTCACTGGAGGCAGGGAATCCTCCCATTCAGCTCCTGTTAATCCTGCAAGCCAAAGCCCTAATGGGTAGGGTGGAGTTAGCAGGACAAGCAGCGGGAAAGCTTGCCAGTCCGTGCTATCAACGGCAAGCTATGCGGTCTTAGTTAGTTATCCAACGCTGCGTCACACAGTTACCCAACTTTACAGTATAAGCTGTGAAGCACTTTGAGAGGTTTTGAT